CAGAGTGCTATTGGTAGACTGTGGAGACATTGGAGACATCAAGCCAATGGATCCGTGGAATATGCACGTTGACCAGGTAGCCCCAGAGTCACAACAGGCGAGATGATAAGCATATGATTAACACTGCGTTACGCAACATATTTCTTAAAGATCACATATACCCTAGAGGGGTACAAATACATAAATCAATAATTGACATCGTTATAAATGAAATCCGGGGCGGTGGGGTAGCCTAGTTCGAATCCCCACATGGGTACATTGTGTGAAGCCCATTTCTGGTGTCCCCCGCCGTGATGTTGCTGGAATATTGCTAAAAGCGGCGTTAAACCAAACTCAGTCAGTATAAATGACATCCAGTCACTAAAACTACTCATTTTGATCTTTAATTAACTTAAATCGACCTTTTTGACAACAGTGCACAATTCTCATCCGCAAACGAAATTTCAACCAATCAGATATGAGGGCCGATGTAGAATTCATGTACATGTCAGGGGGTAAATTATCTTGTTTACAGGTTTGTATAAACCTGAAATCGGGACAATTGTTGTGAAAAATGACAGCTATATGTTTTCACAAACTACTGTCATTTAATCTTATCACCTGCTTTGCCTCGCTTCCGAATTACAACTTGTTTTTATAGACGATTCTGTCAAAACGCTTGGTGTCGCTAGGGCTTATTTATTCGAGCCACACGCAAGTCTTCAACCTAAACAGTGCGACATTAGGAAGGTAGGATGCCCATTAGATGCAGTTATTTGAAAATATCCCCGGTAGTTCTTGTCTTATTGTAATAAAGTATCAAAGCAGTGTGGGCTTTTTCAGGTTTTCTAATGCCTGGATGGTATAATGACTGATCCAAATTGATCCCATGTCTGTGTTCTTTTGCCTTGATATTTAATCATGTCATGTAAACATATGACGTCTATTACGTATGATATTAAAAATTGACATCCCACTTTGCCATTGCTAGAAGAATCTGAAAATTTACTTAGATAAATAGGTACATACAATTTTAGCATGCAGCAAATGCTTTAATGTATTTCTTATGCAACAATGAAGTTATGTTCGTATTCTCAAAACAGTGTCGGCCCATACGTTTTCACATGCAATTAAAATAGCATGCAATACAGCAATTAATACTCCCTTGTTGTAACCCGTGTTAGGCGGTATAAACCTACACATGCTGCTTGTCATCATACACTTGATGGCCAGTTAATGAATTTATAACAGGTATAATTAGTGGTATCTATCCCATTTGACATTTCTTGTGTCTGGAGTAAATACTCAACATTATAAACATCGATCAAAGGATTAACCGATAATACGCTGATTGATTAATTACTTTTATCTTGCACAGCGGATTTGTCAAAAGGTAGTGTTTATATATGTAGATTTACTAATCTATACTGAATACACTCTGTCGTAAAGTGTCCAAATAACGTCCCTCTTTCAATGGATTAACCGCCAAAACATTGATTGATTGCTCATTATTGGCTAACTAAATTACTTTTTTTAAAGAATGGCGATCATTATGCAATTAGTTGCCAGGGATGCTATCTTGGGTGACCAATAAGACGACACCAATGTGAAAAACCTGAAACGATATATCACTTTTACGCATATTAGACTGTTAAAAGACACATCACTTGGAACAGCTGCAGATGAATGGCATATCACTCTTTTTTGTGGATATTGATGGATGCATTCCTCGAACAAGGTAATAACCTGACTTTGTTCCTATAACTTTAATCTGTTTTAATTTTAATATTTGCATTTTGTTTTTATTCATTTGTCTTAGCATTCAACAGAATCATTGTTTTCGCCGTGAAGTGTAATGAGACAGACAACATACACTAGGGCGTGCGTGCGAATTATGATTCACATCGGCAAACTATAAAATGTCTAGATACATTGACTGGTATATCGCGCAGTATTGTCACCCTAGTACATTGACTAGTATCAACATACTGGTGAGTGGACGTTAACCACGTGAATGTAGCAAGAAATGTATCGCGCATTATTGTCACTTCGACCCCTACCTCGTTCCGTGGAAGAAATCGTTATGTTACAAGTTGTGTCATGCAAAATCCTTTTGGTCATAATTCAAATACATATTTAACTACGAGTAGAAAGTAGTTTTGATTTTCTAACTTGATGAAAACAAACCATTATCTCATAAATTCTTTAACAGACTTTAGCCCGTGACGTCACGATTTTTAAAAATGGCGGCGCCCTGTCGCGAACATCCTCCAGTCTGAGAATAAATGCTATTTAGGTTTGTTTTCACCGAGTTTCAAAATCAAAACTACTTTCTACTGGTAGCAAAATATGTATTTGATTGACGGCCAAAAGGAGTTTGCATTACATAGCTTATAACATAACAATTTCTCTCGTGGAAGCGAGGTGGGTGTCAATATAACACTACTTACAATATTTTTGTCACTTCGACCACAACCTCGCTTCCGAGGAAGAAATCGTTATGTTACAAGTTGTGTCATGGAAAATCTTTTTGCTCATCAATCATATACATATTTTACTACAACTAGTACGTAGTTTTGATTTCTGTAACTTCCGTGAAGGGATCTGAACACAAGTAAGATATCGTTTCAGGCTTCCACAACGCTCGCTTCGCACTCACAAACATAACCCATTTAGCACGAACTATAGGGTCCGGTGGAAATCAGTGCATGGTGACACCATCACCCGCCCCTAGGAGCAATTGTCGGAAACGCAACGATTCGGCATGTCTTCGTTGACGTCAAGAAATCAGCAAAATCCCATGTCTGGGATGAACTCTGTCGGCGTGCGTACACACATCATCCAGGACCAGTGGATCTCACAGGACTCCGCTGAGCTCTAGTAGAGGAATGGAATGCGATTCCGCAGCTTTCTATATGAACTTGATAAGATGAGAACAAGGTGCACCTGTGTCTTGGACGCGCGAGGAGGGTACACTAGATATTGAATGACCGAGTGCTTCATGTTTGCCATTTACATTTTGGGGGGTTGGTCTATACAACTGATGTTTGCTAGTGCTGTTTGAACTTTTTTTTGTCTGTATGATGACACTCTTAGTTCCATTATTACCCAGGAGCTTTTCTTTACATATGCTATATATAATTTGACGTTAATTAATTAATGACGTCTTCATTAATGACACATCCATGTGTGTGAGAGAGAGAGAGAGAGAGAGAGAGAGAGAGAGAGAGAGAGAGAGAGAGAGAGAGAGAGAGGGAGGATGGTTTTACCGTTAGTACTGATTTCTCTTAATGAATATGTGCATTCAAGACAGGCTGTTGTTTTCCGAGGCGTGACTTAAAGACGTGCCAAGACTAAACTCACCCCTCACTAACGCTGTTTCAGGTATTGGCATCTCCCAGGCTGCCGCGTCATTCATTTCATCCACGCCTTACAACCTCATCATTGCCTGGTCTATTTACTACATGAACTTGTACCGATCTTTCTGGTTAGTGTTGCCATGGACAACATGCGACAACTGGTGGCACAGGCCCATGTGCGTCACTAAGCTTAACAACAGCTCATCTATCACTGACGCCTACCTGACGAACAGCACAGAGGATCATCAGCTGCTCAACTCTGTATGGCGGAAGCCCAATGTAACGTTGACGGCGTCAGAGGAGTTTTGGCAGTAAGATCTGAGGTTTTAGGACATTTAAATTAAAGGAGTGTTTACAGAAGTCAGAGCCAGACCTGTGCCGTCTCAAATTTATTAAATACTTTTTATGATTAAAATGTAAGTCTGAGTCATCCCTATCACCATCATAAACACCATTTTCATCTCACAGACCATCACACCCACCACAGCTTTGTTCAAATGTCTGGAGCCCAAGAACTAACAGACCATCCACTGCAATTGGAAATAGTTTAAATTGTTATTTGTTACTATGAAGGCAATGACATCACTGCAATTATGTTCATTATTTATCACCGAGTCAGATCATTTTTGTTTCAGGATGAAGGGTACAATTTTGTTTCATTGTCTGTGAAGCGGTTCACAGCAACGTGACGGCTTTTTAAACATATGACCCTCTTGAAACAATGTTGACTAATGTTAGCTAGTGCCTGAATATTACCATCACCCTCCGCAAGCCATGTGTGTTGTGAGAGATGACTGACGGGATCGGATTGACAGGCACGAAAACATGTCTGTTGTATTCCATGGTACCCAAATGAGTATACGGTTAGGGTGTCAATTTCTAGATTGTCTGCCCCTTACTCGATTGTATAGATGAAAATTCGCAGCGTTAAGCAACAAACAAAATAAACAATACTATGTTGTAATACCTCAAAATTATGTTATAGTTTGATTTGATATTGGACGTGAGATATGATAATTATTGTTTACAGTAGAACAAAATACGTTAGTGTATACCTGCGTATTTCTGTTGGTAGGCCCCAGCTTTAATGATTATAAGTGTTTTTGTGATTTTAAATTATGGCTAAATTTTCCTAGAATCGTCAGCGGCTGAAGAGATGGTGTAAATCCAGCTAGGGTCCATGCAGGTAGCAAAGGCACTTTTAGTTTTAGTCCCCATGGTCCCTAGTATGGTGATCTATCTTCAGTTGTTGGCGATACTCAGCCCGTTTTTATATTGTATTGTCCTAATTTGAAATCCTATTTTAGAAATAGATGGTAGTTGTAATTCTTGATACTGATATACTGGTTGGGTTTCCTGTCCTTCGTCGACCGGTTTTTAAAATGTGTGTATTTATCATTTATTCATTACTATTTTCAGTCACGATATGGCTGCAATACTACTGCTGTGACTATAAACTTAAACTCACTCACTCACTGATGATGATAAGATCGTACTTGTGAAATCAGTTGAGAAAAACAACAGTGATAATTAAATCATATTTAAATCTTATTCAAATGATAGCAACAATGATAATTACAATTTCACCATATAGCTAATGTCACACGATCTATATATCTTGAATGGTATCATTGGTTTGACAGGTACAACACACTGCGAGTGTCGAGCGGTATCGACAATTTTGGAACAGTTCATGTTCATGTCCTCCTCTCCATCCTTGTCTCCTGGTCCGTTGTCTTTCTGTGTCTGATGAAAGGTGTGAAGTCTGTTGGAAAGGTGAGGTATCAATCATACGCATCAGACCACACACTTCCATGATACATTTTGGAATATGATACCGGTGTTCATAAGTGGCTGAAAGCATTGTCCTACCTCATTACTTTTCTGAGCCTGTGAATTATCCAAGAAATACTCCTTATGGTTGGTCAAACAATGTTCATTGAACCAGTTAACCTTGTTCGGTCGTTAATTTCACGTTTGTTGACTTGTCAGGGTCTGTGATTGGTGCTTTTGTGTTATTATACCCCATGCTGCTGGACGTTGACCATGTATTCAACCACTTTTTGCCTGACCAGGTTTGAATATTTACCTGTATTAGTTAACCTTTCTGAAAACAGGTTTCTATGAACAGGTTGTGTACGTGACTGCCCTTCTTCCCTACGTTCTCCTAACGGTGCTGCTGGTCAGGTCGTGCATGATGCCGGGTGCTGGGGAGGGTATACTGTATTTCCTACGTCCTGACTTCTCTCGGCTCGGCAATGTACAGGTCAGATGCTCAGCTATAATTCATGGCATAAGGTTCGGATGAATATGATTTTTTAAACAATATAAAGGGCATGGTAGGGATTCAAATATCACTGTTAACGGTCATATGAATATCAACTATTGTTCTCATGTAACACAGTAGAACAATATTTACATTTTCTTATTTCGCCTAAAGGTTTGGCTGGAAGCTTTGCTACAAGGGTTTTATTCTATGAGTGCAACATACAGAGGCCTCATCACCATGAGCAGCTACAACAACTTCCAAAACAACTGCTTCAGGTTAACAGGTCTTCGACATGAGGACCTCTGCACTTAGATATTGAGGTAATGAACGTTTGTATAAAATGTACCGATACTAGAAATTCACATGAATGAAAAGTGTATGCTTATGACATATTTGGCATCCGAAACACTACAGAATTAAAATCTTACCATTTACCATATAAATCGATACGTATGCATGCTTAGTAATTATCATCTGAAGAAGTCAAAACCTGTTTCTCTAATAGATCTAACGCTACTGAGTGTATGGAGTGTTTTACTATGATCATTGGCAGCCGATACATATGGGTTTGATTGTTGTAGATTTTCCATATATGGACCACAATAACAGTTTGTAGTTTGTAAAATATCATTTTTCAGAAACGTAGTGTTGATTACCGTGATTGGTGAAGGCAGCAGTGTATTCTGTGGTCTTGTGGTCTTCTCTACGCTGGGCTTCATGGCGCAACAGGCTCAGATACCTACATCAGAAGTCGTGTCATCGGGTAAACAATCATGGCTTTTATGTTAATGTTATTTGTATGAACTGGACACTTGCTTATAGTATTTTTCAATCACTGGCTTATGTGATCCAGGCATGAAATTGACTGATATTAGGTTACACTCTTTGTATTCGGTGGCGGATGCTACCGGAAAAAGTGCGTATCCTTAACGTCTGTTGTTATCACTGACACTCAGTTAACCATTTATTGTGAATGACTTCAGATGAGTAAACTCCACTAAGTATGTATAATCATTGCGCAAGATTTATGAGCACGTTCGCGTCTCTAAATAGGGGTGTAGTGTACTTCCATGACGAGCCCTCAAAAGGGGTTAAGTATTGTAAAATTATTGTCCTCCTGAGAGGATACGTAAGTCCAAAATCTTTCAAAGTACATTTTGATCTGTCAACCTTTTTAATCGTAGTATTAATGTCATTTTAAATTGATGGCTAAATCTCAGCATAATCGCCAATGGCTGAAAGGATGGTGTAAATCCACCTAGGGTCCATGCAGGCAGCAAAAGTACTATAAGTCCCCCATGGACCCTAGTATGGTGATCTACCTTCAGTTGTTGGCGATCTATAAGCCTGTTTTTATGTTATGTATAGTCCAACTAGTGCTATTAGTTTTAACTTTACATGCTAGTTTTAATTATGTGATAGTCTAGTTGTTTTACTGTCCTTTGACGATAGGTTATATGTTATACAGGTATTCTATTTCAACGTCAAATATGTTCTCGACACGATATGGCTGAAATATTGCCGATGTGACCATAAATATTAAACTCACTCACTCACTCCATGATGAAATCGTATTCTCCACCCCCACTCCCTGCCCTCCATGAACGGAATGATTCTGTACGGTGTAAATCAATCCTCTTGCACATTCGCTTCAAAAGGCATCACGGTGTGTGTATGCCTGTGTGTAATACTACATCCACTAAATCAGCAACTGTTTGTTCCAGGTTCTGGCCTAGGGTTCATCATCTATCGCGAAGCAATTACCCAGCTACCAGTCTCTCAGTTGTGGGCAGTGCTGTTCTTCCACTTCCGGTAGCCCGAAAACGTTGTCTGAGTCGACTTACAGTGGATGGATGCACATTAAAGTGCCTGGCAATCACCACATCTGAAGCACCTTGCCTGACCATACCGATTTCCTGATTCCTTTCGTCTTGTGTCAAGTGTGGCATTCTCTCAAAGTGATTGAGTTCCACAATTCCTTGTGCTTTTACAGGGCCTGCGTGCAGGTAAAGCATGTGCACAACGTGTTTCATGAATGTGGTTGTGTTTACGAGAAATGTCAAAGGTTCAGTTTTAAGTATCAAAGTTCATGTGAGAGGAATGCTACGGAACTCGAACTCGAAATGGGCCAGAATAACAGCCTTGTATCCCTACATCCTCTGTATCGCAGGAAAAAATATTCAATAGAACTTTTGTAAGTTTCAGGACAACAAATACCAATTGCGTTTTTAATGGCTTTCAGTATAGGTTTTTCTGTTATTAATTTTTGTCTTCAAATATCCAGTTTATAATGTGAGTGGGGTTTCACAGGTTCGGAGAGCTTTAGCAACGATGTTGAGATAATGATGGAAAGACGTTTCCCGTGGGTGCTCAAAGTCTCGTCTTCCTACATCACCCCTGTCATTCTCTTTGTAAGTTCAGGTTCATATCAACCAATAAAGATATCGATCCTTAAGTGATCTGTTAAATTGTTTCCTTACTAATTATGAGCTGCATGCTTTTATTATTTTATCATAATTTATCGTAGTGTACGTGAATATTTATGTAATTCGTTACCTATTAATGGAACAAACAAATCAGCCTCAGAAACAAAATATTTCTGAAACGACACACTTTTCAAAGTGGCCTATGAGCTGACTCACACTTTTTGACAAACTGTGACATTCGTTCCTCTTATCGCTCACTGGCGCCCCTGATATTTTCCCTATTTTTCTATGACCCTCCAATCTATGGCGAGTTGTTGGTTTGTTAGTACCATATCCGAACACATGGTTTCGCCTTTTGCTTTCTGTTTATGCCATGCTGATATTCCTTAATACCTGCCATGCTGTTCATACTGGCGTCAAGTCCAACCCGGTTACTTTTAACGGCTTCATTAATTTACTCCTTATCCCTCACAGGCATCCCTGATTCTTTCCTTGTTTGTCTACGACCCTCCAAGCTATGGCGAGTACATCTACCCTGAATACGCAAAGGTGATTGGAATCTTAATGGCCGTTGTGATGTCATTGCCAATACCTGTCATGTTGGTATACCAGCTTTTCAAGAAGAAAGGAACTTTTCTTCAGGTAGGTTTACATACTTAACGAACCTCAATACACGAGATAAGAAAAACTACATCCAACTAACCGTCACATTCGTACGAAAGAAATGGCGGGTTGGAACAGTCAAAGCCTTATTAAAGATTTCAAACGGCTCTGTAGGAAGTTTCCTTATCTCAGGCACCAGCAAAATAAATCCATATGAACACTGTGATGATGGCCACGGGTTGGGCATTTTGTATTTTTGACGAAAACATGATTTCATTACGATTTGATAGTGTGGATACACAATGTCATTGAACGTATTAGCTTTGATCTTGATTGGTAAACAAATACAATGTGCTGGCACTTGGTGTCATGTCTGATTTTCAGTAGTCCATTCATAACATTTTCACAGCTATTTTCCACTTTAGACAAATGGAATCTGGTTACTGCATTGGCCTCATACATTAAACTTGATACAGATGGAAGCTGTTTTGGTTTTATATTTATTTTGAACGTGTACTCATACCTAGGCAAATGGATTTACAACTACAAGTAAGTTTTATGAATTTAATTGTGTCTCCACCTCGCAAGCTCTCCGTCCACTGACTGGGGTCCTTCGTTGCCTGAAGACAGGGATCTATATCTTGAGAAGATGCACAAGCAGCCAGACAATCTCATCATGCGACTATTATTTACCAAAGACAAACAACCTGCATGATGCATGGGAATAGAAAGTATAATTTTTACTTATGATAATAAAGAACATTTATCATTATTACCAGGTATGTTTTAAGTATATTCAGAACCGGTTCTTTTGTGTGATTTTTTTTGGTTTGATTTTATTTGTTGTTTAACACCGCACTCAGCAATATTCCAGCTATTTTGCGGCTGTCTGTTAATAATCGAGCCTGGATCCAGACAATCCGGTAATCAGCATCACTCACTCGATCTACTCAATTGAAATGTGTACGTGTCAACCAAGAGCCGGACCACCCGACCCCGTTTGTCGCGTCTTACAAGCATGGGTTACTGAAGACCAATATTCTAACGCCATCCTAACCCGGCTCTTCACGGGTATAATAGTGTTTTTGAGGGACTGGATATTGCCTCAGCCCACCGCGAGCAAAACCTCAACTGCAGAATAATTACATATTTTAACAGCTTTGAGATAGACGTACAAATACGTGATACATCATTGCATCAACAACGTTTCATCTTTGATTCAATGTATGGCTGAAATATTGCCGATGTGACGTTAAATATTAACCCACTCACTCACTCTTTGATTCAATGAAGTAATAAATTAATATACACTTCGTCTAACGACAAGAGGCACTTTTTAATTACAAATTCTTGCTTACACGCATTTGTCTTTTTACGTAACTTTTCCCAATTCACAGTTATTCATGTGCAGTTTCGCTACTAGAGGACAAGCAAACCGGCAACTTCAACCAATCACCCGCAACAGCCCTTCCTAACTCTCATTGTTTCAGAGTGCCGACCTCTACTCGTCCTCATTGTATGGCTGCTCGGCTGATGACGTACTTCGGCAAGACGTGAATTTTCTCTTTTCTTATAATTAGACATTCTGAAAATGTCCACTCTCGCATACATGCTCATTGCCTGGCATTTCTGCATTTCCGTTAAACACTGCCGCAGTGGCATAATCGTCATGATGTTTCAAGGGAATTAGTTTTCCCATTTTTATAAAACGGTTATTTAAAAAAAAATAGACGACATTCAGTTGTGTCAAATGGCTACAGACGAGAAAATGAATTAAATTATGAAAATAATAACAATTCAGAGAATTGATATCTTTAGTCAACACCACTGACAACATTTCAGAAGCGTTATGTGGTAAGATGTGTTCGTAGCTGCGTTGACTGAACATGAAACCCGGTCCGGGTTAGAATATTGATCTTTAGTAACCCATGCTGGTCGGAAGAGGCGACTAACGGGATGGTTGACACATGTCCTCTGTTCCCAATTGCGCAGGTCGATGCTCATGCTGTTGATCACTGGATTGTCCGGTTCAGACTCGATTATTTACAGACCGCCGCCATATAGCTGGAATATTGCTGAGTGCCAGTCCAGTCCCTCAAAAACACTGTTATACCCGTGAAGGGCCGGGTTAGAATGGCGTTAGAATATTGGTCTTCAGTAACCCATGCTTGTCGTAAGACGCGACAAACGGGGTCGAG